TGCCTTTCACGTAAGGCCCAATATCTCCGAAGTTCTACATCATTTTGACGTAAAATTTATAACAAAATAATCATCAACATAATTTATTATTATAAATTTGCATAAACTATACAATTAATTAAATAAAAGTACCATATATTTCACTGCACCGGCCATCTGCGATCATTCATTATAGCGTGAGCGCTTGTCGAGGTTGGGTCTGCGTCATTTAATTTCGCGCGCTGCGTCGTTTCGATACTATCGTAGTGTGTGTCCATTGCCGTACAACCGCTGCTATTTTGTGCGTGCTAGAGCATCGTCAACTACGACCGCGAGTTTTTGACAGTTGGAAGTAATTACTTTCGTACAGTATATTTCTATTAGTAAAAAATTCGCACATTATTATACCAGATAGTTAACTCATTATAGCTATTTTGATTGTAGCTGAGTATTCTTACCGGTCGGAATGGGGAAAAATAAATACAAGTATGAAAGCGTCACTAAACGTAAAAAAAGAATGTCTGTATGCTTGCCATATGTACTTGTAAAAGTACTAAAAATCTACAAAGATGACCAATTTTGGATTTTGAATATGGTACCCAAGTTACAAGCATTTAAAAAAAAGTGTGTATTGTCAGAAATTATCGAATCGGGATAAGCTCGGTCAATGCCGCTGTAGTAAATATTTTTATAATAAAACAATATGGTAACTGACTGTAAGTACCGATTAAAAAAATATTAGTAACATTTGGTTGTTTTATTTATTTAAACAGGTTGCAACCGTACTATTTATTTATTTATGCCTTTATGCTACCGTTAGTATATTTGCCGTGTAGTGGCGGTTAAGAATATCCACTACTCCATATCTTCCCGTGGGTGTCGTAAATGGCGACAGAAGGAAACAGGCAGGAGATGGGTAGCAACATCTTCCTGATAACAGCAACTGTACAACAAAAAAACTGCGGTTGCCAACCCGCTCGCCAAGCGTGGCAACTATGGCAATATACCCCCCCCCCCCCCCCCCATGAACAATTAGATACACAAATAGATCGGCCCCCAGTCCCCGGCTCCTGGCTACGGTGGCGACCATGGTAACGGCGGGGTAGGGGGTGCTAAGAATCTCCGGTGGAGGTTCGGTTGCCACCTACGACGACTGGAACGGACTGGACTGGACGAGCTGGAAGAGGAGATAGACAAGTTGCGCTGGAATATTATAGGATTATCCGAGGTCCGAAGAGAGAGGGATGGCACGGTGATTCTCGAATCTGGCAACTTGTTCTATCACCGGGAGGGCGACCATCTGTCCCAAGGAGGTGTTGGATTTATCATCCACAAGTTTCTCGTTAACAACGTTGTAAAGATTGGGAGTGTATCGACGAGGGTTGCGTACCTTATACTCAGAATCACCAAACGGTATTCGCTGAAGGTCATACAGGTTTACGCGCTAACGTCGGAACATCCCGAGGAAATGTATGAGGATATTTCTAGAGCCATGCATTCCTCCAAAACTCACTATACGGTGTTAATGGGAGACTTCAACGCAAAACTGGGCACAAGAAAGAACGGTGAGCTGAAGGTAGGGAAATTTGGGATAGGGCAAAGGAACCCAAAGGGCCAGCAGCTGACAGACTTCATAGAGAAAGAGGGACTTTTTATGATGAACTCTTTCTTCCAGAAGCAGCCCCACAGAAAGTAGACCTGGTCGAGCCCCGACGGTTCGACAAAAAATGAGATTGACTTCATTATGACGACCAGACGCCAACTGTTCAGTGATGTCTCAGTGATCGCAAGGGTGAAAACTGGCAGCGATCACCGAATGGTTAGAGGCACACTGAACCTAAACGTTAAGTTGGAGAGGTCTCGTATAATGAAGTCAACGATCCCCCCCTCATGCTCTAATCAAGAATCCCGAAACCTTTCAGCTCGAGTTACGTAACCGCTTTCAGTGCCTAGAAGATTGCAATGCAGTGGACGATATGAATGACAAGCTCGTGGAAATTGTCCATGCGGTCGGTGCTAAGTTGAGCAAGACCCGCCGGAGAAGAACACAAAAACTCTCCGATTACACTCATCTCATGGCTGTTAGACGGGAAATGAGGCTGCAATCGTCAACAGATTTGACTGCATACAGGCAACTGAACAGACAGATCCCCAAATGCATGCGGCGAGACTTACGCATCTTTAATACTGCTCGTATTAAAGAAGCAATCGAGCGGAACCAGGGCTCCAAAGTCTTTGCCAGAGATCTGTCTGCCAGTAAGAGCCAACTGTCAAAGCTGAAGACTGAATGTGGCAGCATCGTTTCCGGGACACCTGAGATTTTGAGTGAGATTGAGAGGTTCTATGGGCAGCAGTACACATCATCGTTGGAGCCACACGCGCATGTGTGAGTAACGATCCAAGAGCAAATCTTACCCGACACTATTCCGATGATATCCCGGACGTCAGTCTGAGCGAGGTTAGAATGGCTCTCCAGCACCTTAAAAACGGCAGGGCCCCAGGCGAGGATGGAATTACAGCGGAGCTTCTGAAAGCGGGTGGAACACCGGTACTTGAAGTCCTTCAGAAGCTCTTCAATTCCGTCCTCCATGGTGGCACTACTCCGGAGGCGTGGAGCAGAAGAGCGGTGGTCTTGTTCTTTAAGAAAGGCGACAACGCTCTCTTGAAGAACTACAAACCGATTTCCCTTTTGAGCCGCGTCTACGTGCTGTTTTCGAGAGTCATTATGAATCGTCTTGCACGCAGACTCGACGACTTCCAGCCTCCCGAACAAGCCGGTTTCCGAAAAGGCTTCAGTACCATAGACCACATACATACCCTGCGGCAGATTGTACAGAAGACCGAAGAGTACAATCTGCCACTTTGCCTGGCGTATGTGGACTATGAGAAAGCCTTTGATTCCGTCGAAATTTGGGCGATGCTACAGTCCCTTCAGCGGTTCCAAGTTGATGGTCGGTATATTGAGGTGCTGAAGTGGTCGTACAGTAGGGCTACGATGGCTATCCGAGTACAGAACCAGAGTTCGAAACCTATCCAACTGCAGAAAGGTGTAAGACAGGGTGACGTTATATTCCCGAAACTCTTCACCGCTGCGTTGGATGACGTTTTTAAGCTACTGGACTGGAAAGGATACAGATTAACATCAATGGCGAGTACATCACTCACCTTCGATTTGCCGACGATATAGTCCTTATGGCAGAATCGCTGGAGGACCTAAGCACTATGCTCAATGACCTCAATGGTGTCTCCCAACGGATAGGTCTTAAGATGAACATAGACAAAACAAAGATCATGTTTAATGTCCATGTCACACCTATGCCGGTAGTTGTTGGGAGCACTATGCTCAAAGTTGTTGACGAGTACGTTCGGATTCAACTCGGCTGCGCAGTGTTCGGGAAATTACGACACATCTCGTCTGGTATACCTCAAACTCTGAAAACTAGAATGTACAACCAGTGCGTGTTGCCAGTGATGACTTACGGATCTGAGACGTGGTCCTTCACTGCTGGCCGTATGAGGACGCTCAAGGTCGCTCAGCGTGCTATGGAGAGGGCTATGCTCGACGTTTATCTGCGTGATAAACTCAGAAATGAGCATATCCGCAGTAGAACCAGATTGTCAGACATAGCCCAACGGATTAGTAAGCTGAAGTGGCAATGGGCCGGTCATATATCTCGAAGAATCGATAACCGATGGGGAAGAAAGATTCTCGAGTGGCTGCCTAGTACCTGTAGGCGTAGTGTAGGGCGACCCCCTACTGGATGGAGGGACGACCTGGTAAGACATGCAGGAAGTCGATGGATGCAGGTGGCTCAGGACCGTGCATTGTGGCATTACTTGGGGGAGGCCTATGTTCAGCAGTGGACTTGTGAAGGGCTGTAATGATGATGATGATGATAGTAGATATAATCGATTATTACCCAAGATTTGTTAACAATCGATTACTGCGTGACAATTTCAATACTAAAGTTCATAAATAATGAAAATATATATCAAAATAGATATATATTTTCATTATTTATGAACACATAAAAACACACACTAAAAATTTTCCATCCACTGAACTCCATCTTAAGAAAACTTGTATTATGGAACATCAAGATCTTTAGTTGCTATACTCAATCATCAATCGAGCGAGTGAATAGAAAGAGCGAATGAAAGAAAGTATCGCTCGCGTAGTTCGCCGTCCGCTCAGTGCGTAAAATACCTAAATTTGCGTAACTAAGAAATGTAAGAGTACTCTTAACGCTCGGAACAATATTTTTAGAAGAAAATGTAGGCAATTACTTCCAAAATTTGCATCTCTCTCCATCGCACGACGGCGATGCGGAGCGAGCGACGTGAAACAGATAGCAGTTTTGAAAATACCTACTCGCACCGCATATCCGCACTTCACAATCCTCTTAAAATCCGTTGTATGAAATCATATGAAACCTAGCACATTGCAGCCGCACTCTACGCGCTGATTTTTATAAATTGTCATAGGTATCCGAATATAGAAGGACGTCATGCTGATGACGACATATAATGCGACGCGTTCGGCGCGTGCTGATTACTCAGTGTTGTCTAATGTTGCCAACTTAGTGGATTTTCCAATAAAACTGGTGGTTTCGACTTTTCTACAGATATATCTCTATGGAAAAGAGTAATTTAATAAGGTGTTATAGTATATGTAGCAATTCTTAAAATTTACATATTATGAAATTGATCTATCAATAAACACTACTAATTTGATACAAACTTTTGGTACTAAAAATTAAAAACAAACATTTTGAACTAAATAAATAAATCAATTAAAAACTATCGAAATTAAAATAATACGCACCCAGTTAGTAGTATTTATTGATAGATCAATTCATAATATTTTAATGTAGAAGAAAAAATATTGTAAAATATCAGTGCCATTGGATTTTATGTCATTCACCTGTTACACCCTATTTTTTTTATTATATTATTTTTTTCATCCCTATTTGTAAAAAAAAATCAACCACTATATGTAATAAATTAATGAAAGTACTCACATTGTTTATCACTAGTTGACAGGAACATGGCCAAGGCAGAAAATCTTTTCACTTTACACAGACCTTTAAGATAAGCCGTTATAGATTTTTCACTAAACTTTTCCTTATCTTCATACAGAATTCGAAGTATTTCCGACAATACGTCACTTTCTAGGGCATTATCAAAGATCAAGGGAATTTTTCCTGGCTCGATAATCTGAAATTGGAATGAAAATCAAGCTTTTAATATAACGAATTTTTTTGTCCATTTGTACATTAATAATGTCGACCAAATCTAAATTCGGTCACAACGGAGACTAGCTATCTGCGCAGGATTATAGTACCCGAGTGTATGCGCAAGCACAGGTGCACTCTGTATTCCTTCACTCTCATAGTCCGATGGGACGGTAAACTGACGGCTGAAAAGATCAGGCGCACAAACAACAGCTTGTCGTGCTTTGCGAGGCACGGGGGCGAAATACCGCCAACTATCGGGTTGCTACTGACAATTTCTAGACATAACAATCTCACTACCGATTTTTGACCTTTCGCGAGATTCAAACCTGGGACCTCATGATCAGTAGCCTCACTTACTACCACTGAACCAAATATTCTATTAGCGTAACATACCATCGAAATTAGAAATAGGGTTGGTACCTTAGTTCAAATGAAATATACTTTTACGAGCTGTCAAAAAAACTTTTATATAAACTAAAAGCAGGCTTCAAAAAACGAAATAGGATAAAGCTAAGATAACGTGTATAATATAATTAAAGCCCTTTTAAGTGGACTAAGAAATATCACAATCTCAATATTGTCAAAACTTTCACCCATATTTTGCTACCCTTATGCCTCAAATACTCAAACGCTAATCAATTTTAAGATGCCGTTAAGTCTTGTGCTGCCTCTATCACTCTAATGCCCAAATACTCAAATGCTACTCAATTTTAAGATGCCATTAAGTCTTGTGCTGCCTCTATCACTAATGCCCAAATACTCAAATGCTACTCAATTATAATATGACATTAGGTCTTGTGCTGTCTCTATCACTCTAATGCCCAAATACTCAAATGCTACTCAATTATAAGATTTCATTAAGTCTTGTGCTGCCTCTATCACTCAAATGCGCAAATACTCAAATGCTACTAAATTATAAGATGCCATTAAATCTTGCGCGGCCTCTATCACTAATGACCAAATACTCAAATGCTACTCAACTATAAGATGCCATTAAGTCTTGTGCTGCCTCTATCACTCTAATGCCCAAATACTCAAATGCTACGCAATTATAAGATGCCATTAAGTCTTGTGCTGTCTCTATCACTCTACTGCCCAAATACTCAAATGCTACTCAATTATAAGATTTCATTAAGTCTTGTGCTGCCTCTATCACTCAAATGCCCAAATACTCAAATGCTACTAAATTATAAGATGCCATTAAGTCTTGCGCGGCCTCTATCACTAATGCCCAAATACTCAAATGCTACTCAACTATAAGATGCCATTAAGTCTTATGCTGCCTCTATCACTAATGCCCAAATGCTCAAATGCTACGCAATTATAAGATGCCGTTAAGTCTTGTGCTGCCTCTATCACTTTAATGCCCAAATACTCAAACGCTACTCAATTTTAAGTCTTGTGCTACCTCTATCACTTTAAGTCAAAGTGACTGTGACACCACTAGACTTAGCAACATGTTAAAATTGAGTAGCTTTAGATCATTTGGCCACTAAAGTCGTATTTTTAATTAAACGAAGTTGCCTGACGTTTACTGGGTTGTCAGGTTTTGATGAATCAAAAATAGTGTTGTGAATAAATGACTGAACGGAAAATAAAATGACTGACTGATAAAGAAAACGACTGAATGGTAAAAAAAAAAATACTTTTTTTAACTGAAGGTTTTAAAAATTACGTCAAGATTTATTTAAGGTACATCCATGTTGTCAGTTCATCAGGAAATGATCATAGGGATTTCATTAAAAAAAACTATGCTTAAGTATTAAATTTTTTATTCACCGTCATCAGATATAATATCATCACTGTCACTGTCAGTAACATTTATTATAAAATTGAGACACTATCGATCATGTGGTCGAGATTAAACATTTTGTCTTCTTCTTTTATTATGTGAGCCACGCAGCTACTCCATTTTTCGGCAGTCACTTCATTTAGTCTTTCTTCGAAAACTTTTTTTAAACCTTTGGCCTGCGCCCAAATCAGCTCAATGGGATTGAGCTCACAATGGTAAGGGGGTAAACGTAAAACAGTAACTCCACGTTCCGCTGCCATCCCGTCCACGGCATACTTGTCGCAGTGTTTATGTTTGTGCTGCCATACAATGTCTAGAGAGTAGCTTTTACCATTTGTACCTTGAATGGTATTTTTGCTCGCCATCCACTCTTTATTCTTGGTTTATTCCAAGACATTCTAGGCAGCGATCCTAACTTTCTAGAATGACAAGGGACATTATCCATCACCACTACGGAATTAGGTTTTAGTTTGGGCAAAACCCCACTAAACCACTCCTCAAAACACTCAAAATTCATCTCTTGATGGTAATCTTCTTTTCCTTTTTTAGCCTCAAACACAAGTAAGCTATCTTCTACAAATCCTTCTTCCCAACCTATATGGCTAATAATTAACCGTTTGCCTTTCCCCGAAGGTCCTTTCAAGCCGGTGTTCAACCCTTCTAAGAATGCCTACCCAGACGATTGTACAGTCTAGTCAATCCATTGCTTCTTCGGTGTATGACCTTCGAGAAAATGAAAAATAACAATTACTCATTAAATTCACCGGTGGCATGCAGTACCTACACTGTAATAGATAAATAAAAGAGAGAAAATTTTAATTCCCTTCGTTGATCCAGGTTTCATCTTGGTAATAAATGTAACCTTCCTTCCCTGCGATAATCCTTAATTTTTTGAAGGTATCGCTGGCCCCACAAAACAATATCGCGTCTATCTATTAGCAAGCTTTTTCTTGATTTTGTGGCGTATTTGAAATTTAAGTTTTTAAATTTTCCTCAAGGTACTCCAAGAGAAGTTCGGTAAATCTGTGTGATAGTGACGCGACAGTAGTCGCCACGCACACTGTAATAATGTAACAAGCTTTACGCAAACATTGCGCCGCGCGCAAAGATGTAAAAAAATAACACTTAAGTTACCTTTGCAACCGTGGGTGCCTCATAAAAAAATTGGTGTACTTTTCGCCTGTTTATGTTTCGGTCCATGTTTTTCAGGAGACTTAAATTGTTCGTTTTGTTTGTATTCTTTTAATACACTGACACTGTAGTCATACCGATTCCTAAAATTTCAGCTGTCTTAGAAACACTTTTTTTCCAGTAATTCAGTAGGTATTACCGAAGCAGTTTTTTTTTTCATTGCGTACCATAAGCTTTTCGGTAACACTAAGAGAAGCCCGTTGTCTCTTCCTTTTTGGGGAAAAAGAGCTTTTGATCGACATGCTTGGTTGAGGTTCCATATCGTTTGTACGAAACAAAATAAAAACACAATAACTCAACAATAACAAACAACACAAATACAACGTAACAAGAAACTAAAGAAAAGAAACAGGAGAACAGCGCGCAGAGAAAATATTCGAGTGATCAGACCTGAGGTTAGAAGCCGAATGAATGACAAGACAAATGACACACAAAATGAAGACCGAAACGGCGGGCGCAGGGTGCGTTCTGAAAGTGAGAGCGCCCCCTCGAGTCACAATAGTATTAAATTATTATTCTTACTAACAGTATTTTTTCTATTTATTTCAGTGATATAATATTCGTCGACAAGTTTCACAATGTCAATCAAGACAGCTCAATTTAATTTTAATCACAATCATCAAGTCATCGTATACTGACTGACCGAATGCATCACTATTACAATGAACCTGGCAACATTATTTCACAAAGTGACATTAGCATCTGTCAGGCAGCTTCGTTTAACTAAAAATACAATTTTAGAGGCTGAATTTTTCTTCTAAATTTACTATAATTAATAAAATAGTTATATTAATTTATTTAAGAAAGTACTTTTACCCTAATTGATTAACAAAATAATCATTAAAATCGGTTTACAATTGATGAAGATATCTCTTAATGTACAGTCGCATAATCATACATAAACAACGTATAGTGTACAACTGCCTCGTTGGTCTAGTGGTTGTAGTAGTGAGACGGCTGATCATGAGGTCTTGGGTTAGAATCCCGGGACGGGCCAAAAAAATTATTTATTGAGTTTTCGTCAAGAAATTCTCAGTAGATGCCCGGAGTCAGGAAGTTGGCGGTGTCTCACCCCCGTGCCTCGGAAAGCACGTAAAGCCGTTGGTCCTGCGCCTGATCTCTCTCCGGTCGTGTCGGTTTACCGTCCCATCGGATTATGAGAGTGAGGGAATAGAGAGTGCACCTGTGCCTGCGCATACACTTGGGCACTATAATCCTGTCTCCTTGGCTAGCCTCCGTTGAGGCAGGCCGCCGTGGCCGAAATTCGGTCTGGAGGACATTATTATTATTATTATTATTATAGTGTAAACCCATTTTTTAAAATGCAGTGATAAGGACATATCACAGGATCATCACAACAAAATCTGATACCGCAAACCAGAAATGTGTGTTCTCTGTTGGCTTTAAATGGCCACCAATTAACTTCAATCACTTCACAATCCACCTTCACCAAGTGTTTGAAAGTGATGGAAGTAATTAAAAACAAAGTAGGTTACTCACACTTAAATATTTGCTTCTTGCTGCACCTTGACCCTTAAGATTCTTCCACTCAGACATAAATTGAACACTATTCACTGGTGGTACCAAATTATGAACACATATCTCTTTCTCTGTTACCACTGAATCTGTAATCAGCTTTAATGACTCAGGGCTAGTTAATTTTGTGTCTCCTTCTCCTTTAACTTTAATACCTCTATTTGTTTCTTCCAATCTATTTTTAATTTTGTTTGAGTCATTGTTATTTGTATCCCCTTGGCATAAACTATCTTCTATCTCAATGATCTTCATTCCAGTCAGGGGCTTTTCAGGTGAAGATTTTCCAAGTGGTATTTCTTGTATGGGGATAGACTTTAATGCTCTCTGAAAAAATTTTAAGTATAAAAGATTTATTGAACAGTAGAAAATATACTTTACTAGGAGGTGGCGAAACCCACTAAATGGAGTGACAACCTGAAGAAACATGCAGGCAGTCGTCGAATGCAGGTGGCTCAGTACAGTGCTTTGTGGCAGTCTATGGAGGAGGCCTATATTCAGTAGTGGACTTGTTGGACGGGCTGTAATAGTGATAGGTGGTGGGACTTTGCCTCTGTTGTTACCGTTCTTTTTCTTATTCATGCCAACAAACAGATGTGTATCATTTTCTGTGTGCAGGTTTGAAAGATAAGTCTACTACTGTAATCAGAGACTGTGAGGTATTCTACCTTAGTCCTTAGGTTGAGGGCGGGTGCTCATATGGTAAGTTTCAGATATTTCAAGAAAAGCATAAACTCTGCCTGCACCAAAAAGCACAGGCAACTCTGTGTGCTTTTTGGGGCAGCCGGTCCCAAGCCCGGATAAAAGAGGAGGAAGTGGTTCCGCCGGAGAGTGGGTGTATCCAGTGGACTAACACACCCACCTGCGCTTGGATCTACGCAGTTGAGCGCCGAAAACGAACTACGCTTCTGCTGCTAAAGCAGATTTGGGTGTGGCCATAACGTGTGCATGTCCAAGTCACATAACAAAGGAGGTAGCTGATGATATCCTAGTGGGTATACATAGAAAGATGATCAACGAGGCCTGGAGTAGCCGGGACCCTAATGCGTCGGGCCTGTTTTTAGAGGCAAACCCATTTACACAGAGGGTGTCTGAGGTTGAGGTTGAAGGGGAATATTAATACCCTCGATCTCAAATCCAACACCTCGCTGACAATAAAGAAACAGTCAGAGATACCACAAAGAATCAAATGTGGTATCCTTATTCCTGATGCCCATTTATATAATAATTTTAATATCCACATATGTACACCGCTGGGTACCTCACAACACAGTCTTTCAGGCGTAATGTATGCGTATCATCCAAACAGCCATTCAATAGATCTAGGAAGGTAAGACTTCTCCATCAGAATACTGACCGACAGTATGGTGGTACTACAATCTCTGAGTTTTAACGTGGTGAACTCGGGACTAATATATGAATGCCATCAACGATTAAATGAGGTATGTAATAGCACAATAATGTGACTCTGCAATGGATTAAGGGGTACAATGGATCCAGAGGCAATGATGCAGCAGATGAAATGGCCAGAAGGGGATCGGCTCTGGCCACTGTAAGGCCGGAACCATTTACACCAATCCCCTTTGGTTACGTTCGTTCACTGATACATAGAAACTTCAATAATCTACACGCTCAGTTTTGGAAAAATCTAGTAGACTGTACACAAGCTAGGGAGGCCCTGGCTGAAATAAAAAGTCCAACTAACCAAGGTTCTAATGAGACTGAACAGGCCACAGATCAGGATAGTAACAAGTGCTATAACAGGACATGGTTCCTTTAACAAACATTTATTTACCATAGGTGTTATGCACTCTCTACACTCGCGCGTGAATCACGGCGTGAAGTTGCGGCGTGGATCGCGGTGCGAATCACGGCAAAATTACCAAAGCACTCGGCGCCAAATTCATAGCTTACTAACCCTTTGTCGCGGGACAAAAACCGACAAATTTCGGAAAAGAGGCGCGAACGCGACGCGAAGCCGCGAAAATATGCGAATCGAATCAATACTTATGTTTTGCGGGTGGTTCACGCAGGAATGTGGAGAGGCCTTTACAGATAGCTCCCTGTGTAAGGCATGTTTGGGGGAGGAAGAAACTGCAGCTCACATGTTATTGACATGTCCAGAAGTCGTTTCATACAGGGCTAAACATCTCGTCACGCCGCGATCACTCCCCGAAGTTGTTTGCAATACCAAAGGACTGATGACCTTCTTGGGAGAGATTTCTTGGTTGAATAATCACATTATTCCTGCCCAAACGCAAAATACGCGCTTCGACGTGGAGTTGCGGAAAACAGCCCGTCGTAATCTAAACTAAACTTATATTCTGTTGTAGATTAAACATAGACGATGTGATGATACCACATACATACAACTGGTAACATTATTATGCATATCCTAAATCTTCCACAAGTTTTGACTTTAATACAAACAAAATTACAATTCAGGTAAGTTTTATAAATTCCTTTCAAAATACATCAATAAAATATATACCTTTGATCGTAAATGGGGAGGTTTTTTTACTGGTCTCATAACAGTGATATCCTCTCCCAGCCCAGATTTCCATTTATCCAGTGCACTCAATTCCTGTTTTTTCAATGGTTCATCAGGCAACTCTATAATCTTTGGCTGAACCTTGGGCTTCAGTATATCCTTGAATAATTTAGATTCAGATGTTGGTGAAGATTTAGATTTTGACTGCAAAAAGAAATAGCAGATATGTTATTTAATAATATAGGTAGTAACATGTCAGTTAATAGACAGTAACGGAGCTAAGTACCTCAGATAACCAAAGTCCCTCACCAAGGTCATCGGTAACAAATTACACATGAAAAATACTTGCTTAGACGTGGATTTGGAAATGCTAGCCTAACTTAATAATTCAATCAAAATAATAAGATAAAGCTTTAGATCGACTTAGATAACATAGGTTATAACAAAATTATAAATAAGATAACTGTGACATCTAAGCCAAGCCAAACATGGTGTGGCAACTATCAAATTCAGCTGTGGAATTTGATTAGCTATATCTAATGATTATTATGTAATGGAAAGGGTATGCTCCTTTTGCATTAACTACATCCATGCATCATGCCTTCAAAATTATACAGATGTGCATAACAAGATAAAGCAAGTTGCTTTCCAATGATGGTGGTGGTGGGAGGCTTTGGTCCCACATTTACTCTAAGAGGGTTTACTTGTGTTGACTGTGTATATAGTGTGCATATAGGAGTAGTAGTAGGAATCTTAACGAAGAATGTTCCAACTTTTCCTGGACTATGACCAAGAAAGTCGCTTTCAATGTCTAAGATCTAAGATCATTCTAGTACATTTAGTCAAGTTTGGTCATATAATGCAGCTAAAGTAAAATGGTAATATTCTCAATAAATAATAAGTTAAATAAAGAAATATACTTTTTTTTTATAAAAAGAAGTAATAAAGAAACTTAGAGACAACCAGACTGTGATAGCTCATGGATATTTGCAATTACCTTCTAATAAAGAAGAAAACAGACGTAATTTCTGAGGACTAAGATGACATGCCTCAATCTGTAATTATACTGAATTTCTATACCCTTCAGAGTGAAACACTACAGTACACACTCTGCGATTTGCCAGCAGAAATAGGTAAGAAGGTCGACACCAATCATGGTAATACATCTGACACTATCTCAATACATCATTTATCTAAAATATAAAAGTATTAAAATTATATACATACGCCTTTCGTTCCCATTCGGGCCTTAATTGCCTCCAGTTGCTTTTTGGCCGCTATATTATTTGGCTCTAGTTTCAGAACTTCATTTAAGTCATTAGAGGCTGCACGGAGAGAGCCCAGGCGTTCCCTGGCCGTGGCGCGTCTTTGTAGGGCCTTAACATATGTGGGATCAAGCTTAAGTGCTTCTGTGCAGTCAGTCTCCGCTTGGTGTAGGCTAATAAAAATGTTTTTATTGATATTATTTTTATTTGGGTAAGCATAACATGTATAACATTCAGAACAGTAGCCCACTAAACAGAAAGTGTCATTTGTCATATAATAATATGCATGGTCACTATTTGTTAGATTATCCCTTTGAGGATGTTCATGTAATTAGTAAGTACTACCTATTTACATTACATGTGATCGACATTTTGTCCACATTGGTTTAGCACTTTTCTTCTTTAGGAATGTAAAAGCCTTAGTAACCAATTTCAATAATCTTATATCAATTAACTGTACAATTAATTCAAACAATGCCTTAATTTATAAGTATCAACATACCCAGTTCTAAAAAAATAAGACCACCTTTTGTTTTTCTCTTTGTTTCTTTCCTATTATGTTATTTGTTTTCTTAGTGTACAATAAAGGGTATTGTATCATAAATTCATTATCATCATCACCATTGCAGCCCTTCACAAGTCCACTGCTGAACATAGGCAGCCTTGGTAAAACTATAGACATCCGGTAATTGCGTAAGTGTCCGAGGGCGGTGGGGGGAGAAGGAACGTTCTAGAGATGCCCTCACCTTGCGGAAATGTATAGTTTATGAGTAATAATTATTTTTTGTAAAATAATAACCACATTTTTTGACGTTAAAAAAAAAAACAAATTGGCATATTTGCATTTTGTTATATGCTATTTTTAGTGAAATTTATTTTTATCGTAAATATATCAAAAGGCATTTCCGAAATCCAAAATCAGAGTAAAAGGTTCAAGCTTAAACCTGACAAACCTAAATCGAAAATGAAATTATAAAATCCAGTACCTTCTACTTCACAATACTAGACCAAATTGACATGACAGATTATTTTAAAATGTATTCAATAAAGAAACATAAATAAAACTTAAAAAAATAAAGCCTTTTGTAATACTTTCATTTTAATTTGGTTGCAAATATTACAGGCACAAGGAAATAATTGTCTTTAACATTTTATTTACTAACTTAGAAACACTCACCTATCTTTTTTGAGATAGCACAAGCCTCTGTTGGCATAATATATAGCATCATCCTTTACCAATTCAATAGCTCTGTTGTAGCATGTTATGGCTTCATCCCACTTTTCTTGCTTCACAAATGCATTGCCCTAGGAAAAACATATAATAAGTATTAATTCTAAATGAAGTTTCCTTTTTATAAATATGTATAAAGGGTGACAAATGAGCACACAGTCCACCTGTTAGTAAATGCTTGCTGTGAGCCATAGATATCTAAATCTATCCTCAATTACAAATCGAAATGCAGATGCATTGTCACCCGTGTGGACTCAGTTGGAATGTCTTGTTACCAGCAAAAAGTGTCTCTGGTCTTTATACTCACCATATGAAATTATGCTGGTATTCTGTGAGTTTGTGGTCCTGTTCTGGTCGAGCCCACCCATTCGTGCTACTACTATACTACTAATATAGATGCGGCATTGCTCTACCATGTAAAAAAATATTAAATGTTAAAAAAACATAGCTATCAGAAAAAGGGATTACCGATTAGTAAATTTTCTCACAAACTTGGAGACCTTTTAGCTCAGGGACTACTTACTTGTTGTAAATTTGAGTGTGAGATTAACCTGTTATTGAGAATTATTAATTGTAATTTTTATTGCCAATTTACTAAGGGCTCAGCGGTGATGGAAAATATTACAAAGAACCTAAAAAAGTATGACAAATAAAATATTTCCATGACATGTGAAGTCTGTAACACCCACTGGAGCAGGGTGGTGGACTGTTTTCTCCATAACCCTCTCAAAAATACAAGATCGGTGCACCACACGGTAGAGCCACGCTGCAGCTATATTATGGTTGTAGCACAAATGGGTCAGCTCAACCGAGGTTGGAGCCTGGTCTCACAGAATACCATCATAAAATAGCAACTTCATTCTGTTGTTTCAATTGATTTGTGTAGAGAACCAGACAGCCCCTTTTTAGGGTTCCGTAGCCAAATTACTACAAATGGAACAGAAACAGAAACTTTTTTATTCAATGTAGATTATAAACAATACCCTTATGGATTCGTCATGTCTGTCCGTCCGTCCATATGTCACAGCCACTTTTTTCCGAAACTATAAAAACTATGCTGTTGAAACTTGGTAAGTAGACATATTCTACAAACCGCATTAAGATTTTCACACAAAAATAGAAAAAAACAATACATTTTGGGGGTTCCCTATACTAAGAACTGAAACTCAAATTTTTTTTAATCAAACCCATATCTATGGATAGGTCTTCAAAAATGATATTGATGTTTTTAATATAATTTTTTCTAAACTGAATAGTTTGCACAGAGACACTTTCAAAGTGGTAAAATGTGTGTCACCCTCCTGTAATTTCTTAATTTAGAGAATTATAAAACTAAAAAAAATACATGATATTATCATGTAAACTTCCACCGAAAATTGGTTTGAATGAGATTTTAGTAAGATAAGAGCGAGATCTTAAGTAGTTTTTTTAATACGTCATAAATCATAAACCACAATTTACCCTTCATTCAATCAACTCGAATATAAAAATAAAAAAAAAACATTTAATTTCATAAATATAAAGCTTATTTTTATGAATCCCCATCATTTAGGTACCTAATTATAATGTTTACTTATCAATAACTTAATTTAAAAAAAAACACTATTATTAAAACATCAATCAAAGTTATAATGAATTACAAGAACTTTTATATTATGTTACTTTATGTTACAGAACCCTTCATGGGCGAGTCCGACTCGCACTTGGCTGCTTTTTACTACTAATCAAGGCATTATATCTAAGTCCTTAGGGGTGACATCAAGGCAAATATTTTGATTCTTAATTGAGAATAAATGTAAATGTTAATAGGCCACAGAATCCACTTACCATCAGGTGACTGTGTGCTTGTTTACTATCCGTATTCTATAAAATGAATGTAATATTAATATCGAAATAATACTAGTTTTTACGGAATTTATCGCGTATATTTAACTTTTAATACCCGACGTTTCGAACGCTTTACAGCACTCATGGTCACGGGCAGGACTGAGATGTTCAACGTCCATATGTCATAGTTAACCGCGGTTACCATAGATTAAAATTTAACTTTTGTTCCGATCTATGCAGTATGAACTTATGGTATCTTGAAGTCTTGCAGTTGTATGCTTGGGTTGGGATTTAATTTTATTTATTATAGGATCCCAAGCAGATGGTAGCACCCAGCCATCTTCTCTATTGAAATTAGGATGTTTTTTGATTTCAATAGCCTCGCGAATCATCCTTGGAAGGAATCGGTGTTCTTTAGCGAGGATCTGCGGTCTATCAAATCTGATGTAGTGACGGGGGCGATCCTGTACGTGTTCACAAACTGCAGACTTCCCCGGAGCGTCGATTCTTCACATCAGCTATATGTTCTTTAACGCGGGTTTTTATTGATCTTTTAGTTTGTCCTATGTAGGAGAGACCACATTCACAATCAAGCTTGTACACTCCTGCATCTTGCAGAGGGACATTACACTTGACCGATGGTAAAAACTGACCAATCTTCTTCAGCGGCTTGAAGTATGTTTTGATGGAAGCGCGCTTCAAGATGTAGCCAATCTTGTCAGTGACTCCTCTAACATATGGCAGTACAGCAGGTACACGCTCGACTGTGGCCGGCTTCACTCGTTCACTGTGACGTAGGCGCGGGACTCGAAGCTTGTTGTCATGCAAAACTTGCTTGACATGGTGGAGCTCTGCAGCCAGGTGTTTACTGTCACAGATCCCTCGTGCTCTCTGAAACAAAGATTTACCCACGGTAGCTAACTGTGAAGGATGGTGGTGAGAATCACCGTTTAAATATCTATCTGTATGGGTCTTTTTTCTATACACAGTATGGCTCAAGGTGTTATCAGGATTCCGAATTACTAACACATCTAGAAAAGCTAAGGAATTGTTTGCCTCTAACTCCATTGTGAACTGAATTTTAGAATTTATAGAGTTAAGATGGTCTAAAAATGCAGTTACTTTATCTAAAGGTAGAATTGTGAAAGTGTCGTCTACGTACCGCTTGTAGAACCTTGGATTTATGGGAGAACTAAGCAGGGCTTTCTCCTCAAAGTCTTCCATGAATATGTCGGCGACAATGGGAGATACAGGTGAGCCCATCGCCACACCATCTACTTGCTTATAGAACTCCTCCTTCCACAATAGGTAGCCAGATGTAAGGCAGTGTCTGAGTAATACTGCATATTCTACGGGCATATTGTTTTCTTCCAGCCTTCTAGTTACAATTAGACATGCGCGCCGCGCCGGCGCCGCCGCGCCACGCTGCGCCCTGCCCGCGCCGCGCCGCGCCGACAAATACGATCGGCGCGCCGAGATCGAGCGCGGGCCGGGCGCGCGGGCGCGGGGTAAATGCATGACGTGACGAGTGCCGTGGTGGGCGTAGCTTATTGGCTAGCCAGCCGGCCAACGGCCATTTCATTACTTCGATCTCATAGGAACCCACGTGCAGTCAGTTAGTTTGTTTTGTTCGGTAATTGATCTAATAATTGGTGTTTGTATCTATTCGGTAGTTTAATTTATTAGTGTGCAGCGCAGATAAAATGGCGACAATTAAGAAAGCTAAAATTAAACAGTTTTCGATATCTATGGTACACGACGGCAAAACTAAGACAAGTTTTTGTTGGCGGCATTTTGGTGATCTGGTTATCGAAGAGGATAATAAAAAAAAGAAAGTGTGCAATGATCAAGTGTTTTGTAATGCATGTTTGACTGTTGCTCAAGAAGAGAATGATGATATATCATTTGGATTGTAAGTATCTCACTTAGGTACCCTTATCTATATATTAACAGGTTACAAAAACTATTTATTTGACTGCATTTTAATTTTTTGTTTTTTATTTTTGGTTATCGAACCGTCGTCGTCGTCATGAGAAAAAGTAGGAACTTTAAAAAGGAAAAAAAAACTATTGTTTGTAATGTAACAAACAGTACAGTATGTGTATGTCAGATATGAACTAACCTATAAATAATCTAACTAAGTTGCTAACTTAAATACAATATGTTTTTTTTTTTTAATAAATAACTACTAATTTAATGTACGTTATTTCTAATTTAATACGTATGTAAATATTTTGTTGTATTTAATGGCTGCAGTTGATTATGGTGAATAAATATAAAATCCTTGTTTGTTTTCTTTGATAAATAAAAATGACATCTGCGTTGGCATTATATTTTAATAAAAGGTCGTTTTGTTGTGCGCTATGGTATGTGTTTGGGGATCTGGCTCTGGGTCGTTCTTGTTTCAAAATATAATTTTGCATAAGATTGTTGCATCTTTCTTTTAAACTTACAGGGCTAAAATAAAATCTTACGTCAAAACTGTCAGCACAGGAAATCTTAACAAACATTTACGAGATGTCCATGACTTAAGAGAAGAAAGTTCTCATAAAGCCACACAAAATATCACGCAGTTTTTTGAAGTGCGACCACGGCCACCACGCTCAGTAGCTGCTTCAAGTAGCTCATTAACAAAGAGGAAAGATTCATGGTTACTTGCGCGAGATATGGCTCTCTGGTTTTGCAAGTCATTGATGCCATTCGATTCGGTGTCAGATGAAGGCATGAACGATTTTTTTCAAGTAAGTTTAAGCTACATGAAGTTAAATTTTGATTTGCTAGTTTGTGTATTCATTTACTTAAATAGTATAAGTTTTAGTGTATTAATAATGATGAAATTGTAATTTTAGAAATATGATATCATCGCTAATAAAGAAGATATGCCCTCCAGAGACACAGTGTCTCGTACTGCTCTCGATGATGTCTATGAAAGTATGCTGGACAATGTGAAAGTTCAAATCAAAACAGATGTGGCTGGACATGCAGCTATTACATTTGATATATGGTCTGATAAGTATAGACATCTAAACTACATAACGTTAACTCTTCATTATTTAACCACTGGTAAGTAACTTTTACGAACTTTTGTGATTAATAATAATATTATTATTCTGACTGACTACGTACTTATTTTATGTTACCTATGTCTTATGTTGCAGATTTTGAGCTCAAATCATTCACATTGTGCACTAAACTTATCGAGGGCAAGAAAACTGGCGAGAAAATACAAGCGATATTACTTGACATAAAAGAATGCTTTGATCTTCAAGAAAAAGTACTTCACTCTGTGACGGATGCCGGGTCAAATGTTAAACGCGCCGTTTCGCTTGCCGCTCTGGACAGCCATTTGTGCTTAGGGCATGGACTACATAACCTGGTAACTGTTGATGGTATTGGCAGTGTTCCTGAATTAGATAAATTAATAAAAAAATGTAAAAAGATCGTAAAAACCGTTCGGTATCGCTTACCCGAATTGGAGCGAGCGGCAGAAAAAGAACAAATTGAATTTTTACAGTCTTTGGAGCGCGTATCAGAACATTTGGAGATGGACGAGAATGAACCAATTATTGATGATGAGGGGTCAGAGTCTAATTCAGTTTCAGGACTACAAACAAGCGATGAATTTGGTAACATGAATCATGTACCAAGCATCAAAACATCTTCGCCAACCCGTTGGCATAGTATGCTAGCTATGCTAGAAAGTCTAGCACACTTTTGCAACAGAAATCCTGTTAATCGTATGTTGTCACAGATCAGTCAACATGATTTAAAAATTTACCAGCAAGAGTGGAACTTATTAGAAGATCTAATTAGATTTTTACGTAAGTTCCGCGAGGTCGTGGAAATGCTATCGACACAAAAGACAGCTTCGCTTAATTTGGCCCTGGTGTTTCATTTGGAAATTAGAGATATCCTCAATTCTTTGTCTGACGAAGAAACACTAATAATGCTAACACTGAAAAATAATATGTTAGCAAAATTAGACAAAAGGTTCCCAATTACCGATAAAATTGTAGTTGCGGCACTGTTGGATCCTCGTTTCATAAATTTAAGTCAGATTGATACGTACCTCGAACAAAAAAATACTACTCGTGCTGCATTTCTAGCAGAGTACATAAAAATACATATTTCAGGTGAATCCACGACCATGGCCACATTAGCTCCTGCTGTTATTACTAGTTTTTCCAATGAATCTGTTTTGTCAAAGCTTTCGAAAAAACACAGCTGCAGCGGCACCTCTTCTATTTTAACTTCTACTGAGTGTAATGAAGCTGATCAAGAATGCTGGATGTACTTGGCAGCTGCTAATGCTTGTGATGTTAAAGACGACGACATTTTAAATTATTGGCAAAATAAGAAAAAAACATTTCCGCTCTTGAGCGAACTTGCGAGGATAATGCTGGCAATTCCTGCTACCAGCACGCCAAGCGAGCGCGTTTTTTCTATAGCGGGACTAACTGTGACTGTTAAAAGGTCTAGACTAAGCCCAGTACGCGTTAATAAAATTATTTATATTCACGATAATTATACATTGTGCAAAAAACACAATTTTAATTTCTTATAACTTGTGCAAAAAACGAAAAAGATGTGCTTTTTTATATAAGGATTGATTTTTTGATTGTTTACGAGGTTATTACAATTATAATTAGAAATTTTTTTTTGGTTTGTTTTTATTTTAAGAAATTAAATTTGAATTCGTATCCAGGTCTATGTTTTACTTATTACTACCTTATTTTAAATAAATGTTTATAAAAAATTGAAAACATACTGCCACGCCGGCGCGGCGTCGCCACGCCGACCACGTGGGTCGGCGCGCCGCCGCCGCCAAATTCTTGCTCGGCGCGCATGTCTAGTTACAATTGAGATGCAGTCTTCAACAGGTAAGCATGTAAACAATGACTGCACATCAAAACTGACCATAGTTTCATTGTCTGCCAGATGTAGGTCTTTAATCTCGCTGACAAAATGGTAGGAATCCTTTATGTGTGCTCTTGTATGTCCTCTGAGTGGTGAGAGTATTTTCGCTAAGTGTTGAGCCAATCTGTAAGTTGGTGAATCGATTTGGCTCACTATGGGACGTAATGGAGCATTGAGCTTGTGTATTTTTGGTAACCCATACAATTTTGGTGATTTGGCGCACGTAGGTATTATCCATTTTACGTCCAGATTTAATTTTTCGGAGTGTTTCTTTATGAGGTCACTAGTTGTTTTTAGTGAGCTATTTGTTGGGTCGTTTTTAACCTTTTTATAAGTACTTACATCCGACAAAAGTTCTTGTATTTTAGAATTATAATCTGACGTATCCATGACTACCGTGGCGTTTCCCTTATCTGCGCGGAGAATCGTAAAGCTCTCGAAACGTCGGGTAATTAAAAAGTTAAATATACGCGATAAATTCCGTAAAAACTAGTATTATTTCAATGTGTAGTGTTCGCGTAAATATAAGAAATCAATATTAATATCATCACGAGAAGTGTAGAGGCTATTACTTTACATTTCATATTATAGAGTATGCAATTTGCTAAATGATTATTAATGAATACCACCAGAAAAGTGAAGGCCAGCTTGGTTCTGCTTAGGTGGTAAAAGTATTTAGCATTGATTTGCAATATTATGATAGCATTGATTATTAATTACTTGTATTGTACTATTTACAGTAATGAGTAGTGTTTGAAGTATTTAAAATTGTTATACATACTCGTTCTTTTTCATATTGTGCTTCCTCTCTAAGTTTCTCCTGTTTTTCTTTTTGGCTCTTCTTGCTATCCAAGGACACAGGTCCCACTTCTGCCATATCTATATCTTCACATGCTTTCTCCTATTTAAAAAAAATAGTTACAGCATATGTTTCTCAAAGTAAAATAAGACAGAATAAAGAGAATTAAATTATTTTACATAATCTTATAAATATAAATTGTATTAAAGATATTAGAAGATATAATAAGTTAGTTAATTTTTACATGGTAGACCCATGCTGCAGTTATATTAGTAGTATTGTTGTAGCACAAATGGGTCGGCTCGACCAGGGAAGGACCACGCTCTCACAGAATACCAGCGTCAAATAGTAGCTTAATGCTGCTGTGTTTTGTATGGTGAGTGTAGAGAACTGGAGAGCCTTTTTACTGGAAACGAGGCAATCCACCTAAGTCCTCACGGATGACAATGCACCTGCATTTTGATTCGTAATCGAGGATAGATGTAGATGTCTATGGGCCACAGCAACCACTTACCATCAGGTGGACTGTGTGTTTGTTTGTCATCCTATCCCATAAAAAAATTACAGCGTTTGTAGTTTAAAATCAATTTCCAAAGTTATTAACACAGTTTCTGTTAATGTAAACAATATTTTAATACTTTTAATATGGACAAGCAATTTAAAAAACACCAGTTTATCTTGATAGGTATCAATATTATCCTGAAAGCACATTTTTTGAAGATGCATTTATAGAAATCATATAACATTGCAAGATTAATTTAAATATGAGCAAAAGGAATTATTTTTTTACATACAACGTCGAACTTTTCCCACGCACTGTAGTCTGAAGACGCAATCTTCTTTTCTGGCTTCTTGGATTGTAGTGGCTTTTCTCTTTTCACCTTACTTCTTACAGGAGGTAGGTCCTATCATAAGGAATTTTAAAGTTAGTCTCATGCGACTTTTCAACGAACGTAGTCAAATAACATAATAATAGCATAAAGAAACAAACACCATTAACGAACTTTCGACGCAACAAGGCATACGTTAGGTACATTTTAAACTAGTGAAACAGTAAACTAACCTAAGATATGATAAGATATAAATAATAATAAAATAAGACTCTAACATCTAAACATAAAAATACAGACATCTAAATGATTTAAACCTGCGCAAAATCACCGTTAAGCGCGGCTTCTTTACGTTTCATCTCAGCTTCCCAATTTTGTAAGTCAGTGATGTAAGTCTGAAAAGTCTTGGCATTGTCACGGACTTGTTTCTGAATCTCAAACGCTTTTTCCATTTTAGTTTAGGATAATAAAAAAGGGCTGATTTACCTGCTGTTAGATCAATAGACAAAATTCCAACTGTCAAGTGTCAAATCAGATTCACGTTGTCATGGCCCTGAATTCGTTCTAAAATTAAGTTAACGTCAAAATCATAGAAAGTAAAGTTATATTTTTATTTAGATACTATGTAACATTTTTTTTATATTTCAAAAGTAGGGTGAATCCTGAGATTCGTAATATTCAGTAGATTCCCTTTGGCGAATTTATTTCAACAGATTTTTTATAAGTAACCGTGTAACTTAAAATTTAATTTAATTATAAACACTTTTAACGAATAGAGATCACTTTTGGCCGGAAGGTTCCCAAAATATAGCATTTTAATTTTTTTGACCAGGAGAATCAATAAAAAACGACAAGAGAATCAAAATTGAAACAAAATTTATAAGAGAATCAAGGTTCCTAAGTCGTATCGGTCCGGAAAAATGTCTGGTGGTAGTCGATTCCACAAGGAAGTTGTGCGAGGAAGAAAATTTCATTTCAATCGCACAGTGGTGGACCGCTAGTCATCCAGATGGTGTGGATGATAACGGGAGTTTAGCCGCGATGTGCGTTCATAAAATTTGACGGCTGGGTATGATCCAAACAATTCCTCAGAGCACTCCTCGTGGTAAATGCGATAAAATACGCAAAGAGATACAACACCTCCTCGCAGTGCCAGTAAGTCAAGCCGATCGGAAAGAGCTCGGTCACCAACGATTCGAACGGCTCTGTGCTGAATGCGATCAAATGGAAGGAGCTGGCACTGGGGAGCCGCAGCCCAGAGATGGGAACAGTATTCCATGTGCACCTGCGCCTTGTAAAGTTGCAAGCGTTGTGCCGGTTAGAAATACTCTCCTGAAAGGCTCTCCTGAGCACGCCAAGATTTTGGAGGCCAATTTGGCTTTCTCTTCCAAGTAACTATGAAAATGCACGTCATTCGATATGAAAAATAAATATATGTGTAAGAAATAATACGAAATCTTTCTTTTTTTTAGAGAAAATTAGAAAAAACTGGGTTTTCATCATGAATTTTGATGACCCTGGCACAAATACCAAGGGTATCAATGCCAATGGAATCAAATAAGTACGATGTTTTTATCGATTCTGATAAAAACAATACGTTTTATTGTTTAGTGTTACTATTTGTAGTTGTAGTTGTAGTTGTGTGTTTGTAGTTGTAGTGTTATTATTTTTCAATGAAATAAATAAATAATGATCATTAAAGCTGTTCCATTAACACCCAAATTACATTTTTTATCATGGTCAGGGTAATCAACGACCTAGCGAAACAAAACCAGGGGAATCATATCTTTACCTGTGTAATTTCATCCTAAACCAATGAGCTGCGCAATCTTTCGCAACTACTGGCAACTACGTTCGAAGCGCTACTATAGTATGTGCCAAATCGATTGAGAAAAACGGACAATGACCTTAGATATGAGTCGAGTGTCAAAAGGCGTAACTTACAAAGTCTCAATTTAGATGTGATAACAATATTTAAATATTGATATTTTTCACACTTCTAGGTCAGCAAATATGTTTTTTTTTTGTTTCTTAAATAATATTGTCTGTAGTTCCTATAAACATCGTAAAATCTTACGGTACATCGCGAAAAACGTGTTATATTTTATATTTCAATTTATGGTAAGTAACGCAGCAATTCATTCAATAACAGTTTCATATTAATAAAAATATTTGAAGCAATATAATCACCATATTGAGATTTTGCAAATTCATCCCTTTAAAATAAACAAAACGCGCGTTACGTCCCTTCGTTCTAAAAGAAACGTGACAATGGCACACAAAGATGCGTCAACTTTTTTTTGGGCCGGTCCGCCTGCACCGAATAAAAATAAAGTTCTTATATAATATTGGAAATAAAGTTTTATCTTTTGATTAAGTACGTACTTAATCGATGTCGTTATCACTCGAATCTTTATATGTATTATAAATTAAATCTTTTTGTTATTAAAAGAATAAAGTACTTTATAACAATAGATGATTTTTCTTCTACAGCAATCTTTTACATAACTTTTTAGTTAATAAATAAATCATCATATCAATCATTATAAAAAGAAATAAAAAATCATAATAAATAAAGAAAGAACTACATATAAAATGTAATACTGTAAGTACTACATATAAAAATAATAATCAGGGCCCTTGGGCACACATAAATTTGGGGCAATGTTGGAAAGTAAAAAAAGTGCATAACAAAAACATTTTTCTGCTATGATCTTTTGTTTATTAGAGTTAATTAGTAAAAATCAAATAATATGTCATTAATGAGGGCATCCACGACTGTTTCTGTAACCAGGCCGGCGCCACTTTACAATGAGGTGAAATATTTGACAGATTTAATAGCGGGGACGACAATTTCTTGAGAAAATGTAAACTTTAATGTTTCTTTCCAAACTATTTATTTATATATTTAATGTACACACATCAAGATACAGAAGCAGTCGTATAGTAATCGTACAAAGGTCATGAAAATCTTCCAGTAGGCCCATAAAGGAAATTATATTTAAATTGCAAACTTAGTGCATACATTAGTACTACTAAAAATAAATAATATACACTATGTTACGTAAAATATATAGAAACAGAAACAGAAACTTTTTTATTCAATGTAGATTATAACAATACTTATTGAAAGTCACTTTTTTCATTTACCACTGGTTCGCAAAAAAAACCTCTGTCCTCGGTCTTCCCAGGACAGAGGTTTTTTTCGCCCCCACCAGCAAGAAACCCAGCGGGACTATTTTTTTCCAATAATAGCTTACAATAATGTTTACAATAAACAACACAAGATAAATTAGAACTAGCTTGGTAGCGATCACCCTTCCCAGGGGTTATTATCATCCATAAATTCCTTAATATTATAATAACCCTTTTTATACAAACTTAGTTTAATAACATTTTCGAACTACGTGTATGACAAATTTTGTATATTTTCTGGGATTTTGTTGTAAAAGCGTATACATCGCCCCAAGAATGAATTACTGACTCGGTGGAGTCGAGTAACTGGTACTACTAGCTTGTGTCTGTTCCTAGTATTTACAGAATGAATATCACTTATTTTCGCAAAACTACTTTTATTTTTGTGTACGTACATTACATTTTCATAAATGTATTGAGAGGCCAGAGTTAATATATTAATTTCCTTAAATTTTTGTCTCAGTGACTCTTTTGGTTTTAAATTATATATTGCTCTAATGGCACTCTTCTGTAAAATAAATATAATTTCAGTGTCAGTCGCGTGTCCCCATAGCAAAATACCGTACGACATAATGCTATGGAAATAATTCTAATCTTTTTCACAGCATATGCTGCAGAACTAAGTCTGCTAGCTAGTTTCGATATATGGGGGGAGCCATTGAAGCTTTGCGTCCAGTGTGATTCCAAGAAAAATGGTGGTATCAACAAGACTCAGTTGCCCCCATTTAAAATTACATTAGTATTGACATGTTTAACATTAGGAGTTACGAATTTCATACATTTAGTTCTAGTTTCATTCAAATGAAAATTACTAACATTAAACCAATTGACTAATAATAAAATAAAACAATAAATAAAAATAAAATAAATCAATAATTATAATAATAATTAATAAGATAGTTACATATGATATATATAAACTAAACTAATATAATAGAATAATATATATATATATATATATATATATATATATATATATATATATATATATTAATTAACAGGATGCAAAGTAGTTACCTCTAAGACGTTTCTTGAATACCAATAAAGTTTCGGAATTTCTTATATTCGACGGTAGTGAGTTCCATAACCTTACCGCGTGAAATGAAAAGGAGTGGGAGTAAAAACCGGGATTATAGACGGGAAAGTCAAGAAGAGTTTTAACAAGGGGTCTGCATGGTTTGTCCGGAGGATGGGTGAAGGAAAATCGGCTTCTGAGGTATGTGGGAGAGGAAGGGTTGTGCAAAATGTTATAGAGGAGATATAACAATCGAGTGTTCCTTCGAAGTCGAATTGGGAGCCACTTGAGTTGCTTACGAAACTGAGATATACGGTCAAATTTCTTGAGCCCAAATATAAAACGGATACACTGATTTTGCAAGCGCTCAAGTTTATTAAGAAGCTCCTCTGTAGCATCCAAATAACAGGCATCCGCATAATCAAGGAGAGGTAGGATAAGAGTAAGCACGAGTGATATTTTAGCTTTAAGGGGTAAGAAATTTTGTAGACATTTAAGCGAATGCAAAGTAAAGTAGACCTCGCGACTAACCTCAGCGATATGCGTGGTCCATGTTAAATGGTGATCAAATATGACGCCTAAGTTTTTGACAGTAATGTGCAAAGGGTATAGGAACGCCATTAAAACAAACAAGATGTAGTGATGTAAATTCTACCTTTCTTTCAAAAAAAGATAATTTTTAATAACAACATCAGTACGTGTATTCTTTTTATTTCTTACATTAAAATTTAGGCTTCGCTTATCTAAAAATAAGGATCGTAACAATTTGCTATAAAATCTAATATTTGTGGTTAAAAATTATCATATTAAATAAATCATTTACCGACCTTTAACCCATAGATTATAAATACATAGAATTCCGAAAATTTATAAAAAAGATCCCGGCTACAAGTAAGGAGACTGTAAAGCCTGACAAAAACGTTTAGAAATGCGGAACTACATATTTCCTACCTAGGAAATATGTCAATTTTTCCGGCAATGTGTGGCTTGTCACTGCTCTGGGTTGCCAGAAAGTCAGTAACAACGCCCTCATTTACTTTATAATTTTTTTTGTCTGGTTATATTTTTATAAAATAGAAAAAAGTTTGTATAGCGTAAGCGAATAAGGCCGATGCCTTTCGTCACGGGGGCCCCCGTGATGATGCACGGGCCCTGGGCACGGGCCCCATGTGCTCTTATGATAAAGACGGTACTGAAGGTTTGTAACAACTGGTTAAACGACCGAAAGGTCATTGTCCGTTT